GGGGGTGTCGTGCCTTCGGGTGTTCTGTCCCTTCAACTCTTTCCCTTCTCGGCCCCTCCTTCCCCCGGGGGTGCCGTGCCTTCGGGTGCTTTACCCCTTCAACTCTTTCCCTTCTCGCCCCCCTTCTCGCCCCCCTTCTCGCCCCATTGCTCCCTTCCCCCGCCATCATTTCCCCTCCTCTTTTCCCTTCCTCACATTCTCATTTACAAGCAGCCCAACGACCTTACCTCAGTTGGCCCCTTATCTCATTTTCTTCTTCCCCCCAGTCCACGCTTTATCAACAATACATTCTACCAATCACAAACCATACTGTCTCTACCGCCGGGTCCCGGATAACCTCTCTCTGGGTATTCTGAGAAGCACGTTACGAAGAAACGTTTTGTGAGGGGCATGAGCTTCGATGCTTCGAGTACACTTCCAAACAGTGGACATGCTTGGGCTGCCGCATGCAGACATTTGGTAAGTTTTCTTTTGTGTCTCTGAGTTTCTTCTCGCCTATGGTTCTTTTAGCTTATTGTTTCCCAAGCAACCCCTTGGAAGATACTCTTAGTTTTGGCCTCGACAATGTTGTCCAGCATACAGTCAAGTTTTGTGGTCCCATATGAAATCCTGCAGATCCAAAAAATCTCCTACAGCAAGAACCTGGCCCGTTATCCCAAACAGATTCTTCAGATTTTGGCCGTCCGGGATAGCGAGGTGCGACTGTACTTGGGCTGAATTAATGGGATTGACTGCTCGCGCTGCTCCTACCTATTAGACCTTATGGAATGAAGAATATCCTCTGGTAAGCATTCCCAAATTTAGAAACGAAGATTTGGTAGACTAACTTGCCAGAACAATCCAAACTACTTCGCTTCGTACTATTCTTTGGTACCATTTAGGGGGGACAGGAGGTCAAGAGAAAGACCATTGTTGGTGAAATGCATTATTGTGGATAGCCTGTTCAGTCATTTGTAGAATACGCTTCTATCCCTCAAGTCGTCACTGATGTTAGGATACTATGGCAAGGCATTGTTGATAACAAAAAGCTAGTAGAAATTTCTATGCCTTTCCCAATCAAACATATTGATGTCACCGCAAACCCAGTATAATGGGCAACTTGATAATTTTTTTCCATTTGCTCTGATCACTCGCCCCCAGAAAAAAAATCAGCATCTATAACTAAATTAAGCATCCCACCTAAACTCGGACAGTTTGGACCGTGGAAGGAAGTGGCCATCATGGCATTTGTTTATATTTTGGTAAATTCTGCCCAGTACGCGTAGCAGTGTTCCGCACTGGCCCGCTAAAGCCGATCCCGGCCACTAGCTCGAGCCTAACTTTGTTAGTGGTCATATGATATCACTCGCTAAAATGACCTACCAGGGGTCAATATATTGACCCTGAGCAGAGGATATATTCCAAACATTAAGTGTGTGAAACAATCTCCAAATTCTGCTGCGAACATATTAATATCCCACTTGGCCAACTCCTAGCTCACGTAAATCAATTGCGGGCAATATGTTTATGGAAAACCTACTTGACTTTCTCTACTCAGGATTCCTCATTACCATCTAACCTACTCCCCGATCCGCAACCTCTCATGAGTCCAGCTAAATGTAGGAGTAAAATGGGATCTGTGTCAGACTCCCCGGTCCGAGTAGGCCAATAAAGGTGTGTTCAAATGGCTTCCTGGGCACAGGCAAATTTGAAGCTCTTAAAAAAAAAATTAATCCCCCGCCTACTAGTACATCCATGGCATATGCAAGATAACCTTAGAGATACCAGTCTTTTCCCCTCTTTTCCTTACCAATTTGCAATCAAAAACAAAACCCCTTGAAAAGGCTCGAGCCAAAGTTTAGATGAGCTCAAGTCGTCCCGGCTCTGGGGATATGTTGGCTCGTGGTGCTAGAGCCAACGCTCAAGCCAAGCCTTCGAGGTTCTCAGCTCGTAAAGGACACTACGCGTAGCAGTAACCGGGCTCTATTAGTAGCACTATTGGAAGTGGTCTAACTATCCATTCAATGCGACTTCAGGCACGCGGGTGAGCTGGCACATGCGCAGGCTACCACATCAAACACACCAAATATTGAGAATTCAGTAAATGAAGGGGAACAAGCAGGTTTCCCGCAGCTTATTTCACAGGCCTCGGGCACAGCCCACACTCCGGGATGCCAGACCATTTTCATATCGCTCGCCGGTCACTCGCGTTCAATTTCGTTCCCTGTCCCCCACCCCCTTTCCCCCTTTTGCTACTTGATGATAAATAAAATAACGAGGAAATTCAATACTATTGCCAATTATGCCGCAACCCAGTGGCTTTGTACAGTAATTATGCCCGGATATATACACCTGCACCAGTTGAGAGAAGGGTCGACACTATCGCCACTCGAGGGGATTGTAGAAGAAGCTACGGGGGGCAGGTTTGTATACATTCTCAAAGCGAGTCATCGGCAGAGAAATCGCGGCCTCGGGGATTCCTCACAATATCTCTAAATTATTAAAGCCTCTCTTTTCTAGCTCGCCTAGGGACGGCAACCCATGGGAAAAGAAATGAAAGAAGAAAAAAACTACAGCAAGGGTGTCACCTCTCGCCATCCAAAGCCCCTTCCAAAGCCCCTTCCACCGCGCTATGCCTTTGTTATCGCCAAGCTTTTGCTACAGTATCTCTCCACCAGCGCGGGCTTTACGGGTGGGAGTGCAACTCTATTAGATAGAGTTTGATGCAAACTGTCATATACCCTTCAATTCAACCAATGATACAAACTTTCTTCCTTCACAAATCATGACTCGTGAAGTGTTGTACCACATATTACGCGTGCTAGCATATATCGTGTCACCAGTGTGTCGGTGCTGTCACTGGACCCGATGGCGGGGGACAATATCGATGGAGACTCCCGAGGCTTCAATTTTAATCTCCACACCTTTGCAACCCCACAAGAAGCCTCCCATTACCACCACCACCACCACCACCGTCAGGAACGCCGTCAACATGTCGGGAGCTGGTGTGAGTTCATGTTCCCTCTCCACCCATCACTGTGAAATTATTGTAAATCTAACCCAACCAATCGCTAGAACCGCGAAGCGGTCTTCGCAACCCGCCAGTCCTTGGGCGTAATGAAATCCAAGCTCAAAGGCGCCGAAACAGGTTCATCCTCCATCCCGCACCCCCTCCGGCAAGCGCATAGCCAAAACTAACAGGAATGTCCAAACAAAACTAAGGCCATAGTTTGCTCAAGCGAAAGTCTGAGGCTTTAACAAAACGTTTCCGTGAGATAACTCGCCGCATCGATGAAGCCAAGCGAAAGATGGGCCGCGTAATGTCGATCGCTGCCTTCTCCCTTGCGGAAGTCACGTACGCCACCGGCGGTGGCTCCAACCTGAATTACCAAGTGCAGGAGAGCGTCAAGACTGCTAGGTTCCGCGTGAGGACCAAGCAGGAGAACGTGTCTGGCGTGCTGCTGCCCGTCTTTGAGAGCTACATCGCGGAGGGGAACTCGGATTTCGGTCTCACGGGTTTGGGCAGGGGTGGGCAACAGGTGCAGCAGTGCAGGGAGGTTTATGGGAGGGCGGTGGAGACACTGGTTGACTTGGCGAGTCTGCAGGTATAGTTACCCACCACTACCTTAAACGTGAGGGAGGAAGGGTGGATGCATGGCTGACCGCAAGGCTATGATGGCGAATATAGACGGCGTTCGTAATCCTCGACGACGTTATCAAAGTCGTTAACCGTCGTGTCAATGCTATCGAGCATGTTATCATCCCTCGCACAGAGAACACGATCAAGTACATCAACAGTGAACTTGATGAGCTAGACCGCGAGGAATTCTACAGGCTTAAGAAAGTGCAGAGGAAAAAGCATCGTGATGCTGAGGAGGCAGACAAGAATCTTCGTGCCAAGATGGCGGAAGCAGGGATTACTGCAACTGATAAGACCTACGATAGGGGTGAGGGTGTTCCAGATATCCTAGGAGAAAAGGAGGATGAGGATCTCATTTTTTAAAGATGGGATTGGTGTCTTTCTCTGCTTGGGTAGCAGAGAGTGCTCTTTGCCCTCTTTCGGATGAATACCTTACCCGTGATAGGCTTTCTTTTTTGCCCCCGCATACCTTACTTTTCTTCCTCATTTTTTTTCTTTCCCTTTTCCCTCTTGCACTTGCACTTTGTAAATACCCCCCAGTGCCCCACATCAACTCCATCAATAGCAGGCATTTGGGTCCAAACAAGTACCGAAACCAAAACCAGTGGTATCACACAAACACCACCGACCAACCAGACACCGAACCCACCCTCTCCACAGGCACACACACACACACACAGTCAAGTTACCCTCCCTTATCAGCTACATCCCATCACCCACCTCCAAAACCCCCCCCCAAAGCTCCCAAAGGCTCCGAACACAAGCTTCCCCCCTCCCTTCCCACCCTCCCTCTCTCATCAAAGATAAAAAAATCAACACCCAAAATGACCGACGTATCCACAACACCAACCACCCCCCACCTCCTCCAAAGGCTAACCTCACTGACAAACACACTAACAACCCTCCTAAGCGAATCACGCAAGAACACTCTCGCGCAGAAGCGCACACACAAGCTCCTCCTACGGCTAGAATCACTATCCCTCGAGAACGCTTGGATCCGGCACACATTCCCCACGACGCCCGTGCTCACAGATGACTTTTTTGGCGGGGACGTTGAGGGTGATGCGGATGCGCTACGAGAAGAAGGGGAGGCGGAGTTTGGGAGGAGGTATGGGATCACGAGGGGGTGTTTAGGAGGTATTGGTTTGTTCTCCCCCCTGCCCTGCTATGCTTTGCTGAAGAAGGGATTGGGGGGCGGGGGTGGGGGCTAATATCAGATAGTGCATCGTGATGTCTTAAGGGTTATCTCGCGAAGGGGGAGTTTGGTCGTTGTCTGCGATGGGGTGCTAAGCCGGGAGTGGGAGGACGTGTATCGGAGGTTTTTGGAAGGGTGGTTGGGGAGGGGTAATGGCGAGGGTGCTCTCACGGAGGAGGAGATGAAGGCCCTGGATTGGCTGTTGGAATACGTGCCCAAGGAGGGTGGTGGTGGTGAGCAGGGTGTCCTTAATGCCGCGGATGCCGGAGGAATAATTGACGGACGGTGGGAGGAAGGGAGGTTTACTCGGTGTGAGTGACGTGCGATGACTTTTCTGTCCCCACCCCACCAAATCCTCCCACAATACTTGTGTCTAGGGAATCACTTTTTTTTTTTACAAGGCTGGGATGGGATGTGGGATAGGATGGGGCTGTTAAGCATAGCATACCGTAGAGTGCGCTGCGTCGTTCGAGTCGCTCCCTTTTGGCAAGGTCTGGTATTTTTTTTAATGCTTTTTTTTTTTTTTTTACGCGCCTGTTCCAGAGAAGGAAATTTTGGACTACCTAGCCGGCACACGTTCTGATCATTCGAGGTATCATGCCGGTGTAATCAGAGATCCTTAATTCAATCTCAGCACTTCATAAGACGCGGTCATAAGGGAAAAATTAAAAATAAAAATTTGGCTAATTAACAAACACTCTCTCCCATGCCACCAGCCAAAAGCGGACGCCAAACGTTCATAAGACGTGCATCCCCGCAACTCTATTCAACTCTCATGTACAGCGCCCAATTTTTACAACAACCCCTCCGGATGCTCCTCTCGCATGCATTCACAAGACCAGACCATAAAAGTATAATCTGTATGATACACAAGAAATCAATGAAATGAAATAAAATAAAATAAGGTAAACTGCTGACACTAACTGACCACCGCCCATTCTCATAAATTGCATCCCCTCATACGGGGAATTAAAGCAAAAAAAAAAGAACCAGCTAGTGTTTTTCTTTCCTCTCTAGAAAGAAATATGGACATCCATGACTTGTTAGCGTTCAGGTGCAGACGAAGGGGGTGCCGGAAGTGTTCATGCTGAAGGGCGCCTATCAAGTATCCAGTTAGCTAGTCGATCTTACGGGAGGGAACGAAGGAAGGAACGAAGGAAATAAAGAAATAAGTCACTCGCCAGTACTCTCTTCGCATTGCATATCCTCCAGGCAAGGCGTCTGACATTTCCATCAGCTTGGACAACCTCGGGAGCGAAATCAACTCCAAACATCTCCTTGACAGCATACACGATCCTCTTGGCATACTTCTCATCACCTAGGCCGCCAAATTCGTCCGCTACATCGCCGGGTGCTACATCTTGGTCCTTATCGAAACACCTAACAACGACCGGGAACAGGTACTTCTCAACACTCTCCTGCATCTCCTGCATATTAATGAAATGCTCTTCTTCAGTCTTGTCAGCCGCAAGCGGTGCCTTGCTGATGATAACCTCGAAGGGCAATGAGATTGCCATAACCCCGTGCTTTCCGTCGTGGTGGTATCTGAACTCGTAGACTCCATTGCTCCAGAAGATCTTGTCTCCGCCAAACTCCAGTTCGCCCGCGAGGACTTCCTCATTAGGGCTCTCGGGCAAAAAGGCCTTGACATCAGTGCTCATGATTCCTTTCTCCGCAATGTCGGTATCATACTCGTCCCTGCAGAGGGCAGTCCAGCGGCCCATAGAGGCGATCTTCGTAACATCCCGAGAAGCATTATCAGCGATCCGGTAGAGCCCAATCCAATCCAACCTTGAATGGTTAACAGGGGCAGTCCAGGCAATTCTGATAGGTTGTCCAAATGGTACGGATAGACTGGTTGCAACGCCACCCTTGGTCCCCCCGTCAGCATTCAAGATGGCGATAGAATATTTCTTTGCATCGTAATTGGCGAGGCCATCCTCGAGGAACGTGAGTGACAGCTTAGCAGGGTAGTGCGAAATAAGTAACTGTGTGTCCTTAACAACGCCCATAACACCATGTGCAAGCCTGGGCCTTGCAGTTTCCAAAAACTCCTCAATGAATTCACCAACATCTGCAAGGGCCTTATCAATTGACCCCTGGAAGGACTTCACACCGTCAGCGACAGGTGGGGGCATGGCCTTCTTGATTGTCTTGACCACACCGGCTTCCCTGCGAATCTGACCACCATAAAGTTTCTCCATATGCGGCCGCTCCACAAATTGGATAAAAAGCAGCAAGCAAACATGAGAGAACAGACCCAACATGAAGATCTCCTGCGAAGAGGTAATCAAAACCACTCCCCAAATTCCCGCGCTGCCAATCAAGCGCTCCGGGTTATTAAGGTATCTATAAATTCCAGAGTAGGTAAGATGTGGTGTTGGCTGTTCAAAAAAGAAATCACCGAAGAACCATCCAAACTCTCCGAGGGACTCATGGATTGAAGCGGCTGTCCACACCTGAAGCGCAAGGAGCAAGGCACCCAGTGTATGCCTAAATAGAACCATCCCCTCCTGCCCGGCTGGAAGACTGTAGAACTTCCATCCGGCAGCGAAGAACGAGGTGTGACACATGACCAAAGACACATGGTAGAGCCCTTTCCACTGATCCCAGGCCTCCTCCCTTGTTTGGCCAAATTTCAAAAAATGTCTGAACCAAGCCTTGTTACGGCTCTGCCCGATAAGGATGGAGCCGATACCAATGGTATGCCAAAGTCTCCACCCGAAAGCATGAAGCAAAAAAATCACCCTGACCATGGGTGTATCCGGCGTCACCACCGCGCCCACCACGAGGTAGAAAACGAGGAGCGCAGCGCAGAGATGGGTATTATAAAACATGCCGAACTTCCCGATGAGCTTGCGTTCCTCGACAGCACGAGCGTAATCATCCGCCAAAATTGCGGTGTAAGACTCCTTCCCATCCGAAGAGGGGGGCCTGGGGGAAGGCGGTGTTGATCTACGACGAGGCGCCGAAGTGTTGTATGTCTTGTCAATATGTGGGTTCTCAACAATCGATAAAAATACGAACTGCGCGGCATGGGCAGCCAGCGATATAAACAAGACCGGATATGACGCTGCCATCAGAGATATTCCCTGCATCCAAGGTCAGCTGACGCGCCTCAGCAAAATTCATATGAAATTTTCGGCGCACGTAATAACCGGCGTACCCAACAGAGTACATAGGATGAGGTGCCATCTCGAAAACACCATCGAACGTCAAATTCTGGTCAATCAAGAAAAAGAAGTCCCCCCAGTCTAATTTTCAACCGCACCAAAAGCTGTTAGCGCTACCAAATCCCAATTGGAGGATACAATGTATGATGGACCAAAGGCCTCAAGCTACTGGAAATGGCATTTGGACGACATGGCAATGAAAAGACTTACACCAAGCGTAGTCTTTCACAACTCGATGAGCATCGAGTTTAACCCACAAATTGAACATGAACAAGACGATGCCGCCAACCCATCGCCCAGCAGTCAATCCCCATCCCTCTCCGGCAGGAACATGTGCACAAGACACGGCGAACAGCACATAGCTCACAAAATCACACATAAGGACAAGATCGACCACCCTCCTGAACACCAACCAGGTATTGTATTCCACAGGGGTCTCCTCAAAAACATAATCTCCGCTCCTGACCTCGTCAGATATCTTCGCCTCAATCTCGTGCTTGAAAAGGGCACAGATGCGAGGACTCCTCTCCGCATCGAAGATGGCGGATTTTCGGGCCCACCACACCAGACGCTTGTGATTCGATTGATTGCGAAGCAGATAGCCAATGCCAAAATTATACGAAGTTCGCCAAAGGACAAAGAGACAGCCCAAAACGGGTGACCGTAGCGATGGCGGAAGGAGAAACAAAAGGATGATATGGATTGCGAGGATAACGAGGATGACAATATCTGACAAGTTTTTGGGCTGTCTAGGCGAAAGTAGGGTAGAGACCATGTCATGAGTCTGGGGAACAACGAAAGCTGTAGCAATTGGTGCGGAATCAGTTAAAAAAAAATAACATTCATCACCAGCAAAGGGGACGGGCACCCACTCTTTCCGTCGGGAGTCCGACCAAAAGTTTTTCTCGGCTTCGAAGCGTCCTCGTTATCAACACACTCGGTTACCTCCACATCCTCCATTTCGGTCGAAGTCTCTACTCCTTCATCCCCCTTTGAACGATCCCTTAGGCTAGTGCCATTGGGCTCTTGCAAGGCACTTGAAGCCATGTAGGCAAAGATTCTTCACTCACACGTGCTTTACAAGCCAAGCGTGAAGGGAAATCCGAATAGCTGAGGGTCCTGTTGAAGGACCTGATGAATATAAGAAACTATGGGGGGGACAACGGATAAGGGATGGATAAGCTGATGGATACAAACGAGAGAGGAGGAGGGGAGCGATGAAGAGAGCAGAAAGTTTAAGATAAGGTGGCTGAAGAGAGGGCTCTTAAATCTATCAGGACAGAGCGGCTCACAAGGCAGGGGTAGGTATCGCTGTCCCGTGCGGCTATTCCCTTCTCTGAAGTACCGGTACCGGTACTGTACTGTAAAAGGCGGCGTCGGGATTGCAGTACGAGTACGGGATGATATGAGCAGGGGGGGGAGGGAGACAAGTTAACAGATCAGACTGTACGGTACGAGTACTCGTACTGTACTGTACCCGTACCGGTAGCGCAGCCAACGGGAATGGGAACAGATGGGAACAGCAACCCCCCTCAGAGCTTGGGACAGCGAAGCCTCGACTCGGATGTGGGGAGTGAGACGGTTGCGATGTGTTCTCTTCACAGGCTGCCTCGGTGCTGATCGCGCTAATCGATACCGGGTTAGAGTGATTCACCGCACTCCTAGTCTACAGCACAAACACGCCTCGGAGCACGCTATCATATTATACAAGTCATTGGCATCCTTCACAAGAACCCTCACCATACTCTATCGTCTCATACCGGTACCAGTACTCGTATAGCACCAGCACGGTAAATTGTATTGTGTTGCTGTTGCTCACAGACTCTACCAAGACCTTGTATTTTGAGGCTCCCAGAGCCCTGCATTTACGAGAAGGCCAAACTCTAGTCTGGATTTGAAAAAGAGAAAAGAATAATAGAAACAAAAGGAGCCTCTTCTTAAGCGGCTCCCGGCACCCGGGGTATGATACGAGTACTCTACCGGTACATCGGCTTGAGGCCACCCACCGGCAAAGCCCCGCGATACCGGGATGATGCGGTATGATACTGTACCATGAACGGGCCGAACCGGTCCCCTGGCTCCCCTGGTTCTTTCAAGGGTTTAAACGCTGCTCAGGGCAGAGTAGACCTCATGAATGATGGGCAGAACCCAAGGTTTCGCATTGTTGTTACAGTACGGGTAGGTTCAATTACCGGTATGATAGGTGTTTGCATCGCTTGCACGTGAAAATCTTGCCCCTTTTTGAAACACATGACCCCACATATTTCAGGTACGGGTGCCACACCCTTCGAGTACCATCCGTACTCGTACACCTACGGTGCAAGGTACAGTGCTCGGTTAGGTCAGCATGGGGAAAACAGTTATTCATAAATAAATACAAACTTCCCCCAGCGGTCCTATTATTAAATATCGGTTGAACACTACCGTACTATACTCGAGTACATCGAAACCCGTTCTACTAGGCCGGCAAGACATTGGAAACCCCGCGCCGCTCCCGTCAGTCCCTGAGACATGGGCAGCTAAGGAGAGTTTGAACCCCCCCCCCCACCTGTACCTCACTATTCCTCCGCGACTATGTATACAGTATGGTCTGAAGTTTGCACGTTTTGGTTAGCTAACAAAATTCGACGGAACGCACATCGCTAAATTATTATGATAGCTATCGGTGAAAAGTCGCTTATCATAACCTCAACGCGAAAACCCGACAGGAGCTACCCCAAATCCTCGTGTCCTGCCTGTCCAGGACAACCCTAACCCCCAAACACTTGTCACGTCAACAATATCGAATCCGTAAAATCCCCCCCTCAGTCTAAGCAGAGGCCTCAATTGAGCCGCAGTGATCCGACTTCTGGAGATTTTCAGATCGATTAAGCTTGCACAGTGTACCGTACAATGCACTTCATGGATATCTCCAGTGCTCGAGCAGTCCAAATTCGAAATTGAGCCGCAGGTGCGCAGCGAGGCATTCACTTACCGCCTCAAGAGCACTATGCAGCCCCAGTCCATACGGTACGTTCGCCTTGCCCCTCCCCTCCCGCCGGATTCGGAGGCCATATCGTCTTTACTCGAGTATACCAGTACCGTAGGAGCCCTTGGACCACCACTATCAGATGTTCAGCTGAACTCGCCTCACCAGCTCACTGTATTAGAGTAGGCTTTGTTTGATAGGTACGGTAACTGGATTTTAAACGCTGGTTGGTTGGTGAGATCCAGCATGCCCAGAGACCTCAGTCCATACCGCGCCGTGATAGCACTAGTCTCGCGCAGAAGCCTTCGTCTTTGGGCCCGGAGCTTGGGGGCATGCTGGAAGGGGGGGGGTCGCAAGAGTTTTTACCGCTCGGGGGGATTCAGCGGCCCGAATGTGCCCGATTTCGGGACCACACGCCAGCCAAGTGCATGCTGTACCTACTCTCGCTGCACAGTGCTCTTACTTGTACAAATTGTCCGCATGAGTGCCAGTATCCCAAGTCCAGCCGCGGAAATACCCTCGGCGACCTTAGCTACCGGCATTCGGCCTGAATACCAACCTTGCTCATACTACCCGCAACGATTAACCGTATACCGGTAGGCCAGGCTGAATCCTTGTTCTCTCCTTCCTCTCCTTCCCCATTCATCAGAGACTCAATGGTCTTTTCTTTTCTTCTTCTTTTTACACTGGGGTTCCGGGTAATGTATATCATCGTTCTGTTAGCGCTAATACACAGCGAGGGCGGGTCGTCTTAAAGGCATCGGTTTGTGACCGTTTATGCTAGCGATGGGGGAGTGATGACCTCAACCCCTCTGATGTCCCTGAAAGGTTCTAGGACACGGCTACTCACTTCTCTCAACCGCTGTATGGTATGAATTCTAAAAAAAAAAACTAAAAAAAAAAACTAACGCTATGCACCTAAGGATGCAGGCAGGATATTGAGCGTTCAAGGCACCACCACCCACTAGGCCAAAAAAAAAAAAAAAAAAGGCTGAGATTACAACCAGTGTTAAAATAATTTATTTGTAGCTAACTACACGACTCCACCTTAAAGGTATATGCGCCGTACGGCATCACGTCCAAGAGGTAAGCCAACTCCACCCTGCCTAGCCCGTAGACCCTCTGGTATGGGCCCAACCGCACAGGTCGTAGCAGAACCAGTGCGTGTCCGGTCCGTCGTCCAAGGCGACGCGAGGCGACAAAATACGAGACAGGCCTACTCAAGTACTGTAATATATGGACGGGCGGACAGGGCTACTGACTGCGGACGACGGCTAGAACTAGTCAGGGTCAAATGAGGAGCACACTACTAGAGAACCGTGGCATCTGTACAGTACTGCAATGGGTGCTCGAGTGAATCTAATGTAAACAAAAACGGTACTCATAGCTGCGATACAGCGCTCGCACAGCCGAGCTGAAGCAAGAGCCTTTGCATGGGAACCTCCAACTTGGGTGACCGGCTCCAGCTCGAGGCAGCCAGGACAAGTAAAGATATTTGAACATCTCGATTGCACCAATTAAGAACCCAATGATAGCGTGTCCAAACAAAAAAAATTAAAAAAACAAGGATGAAGTATACATGATAAATATATATATATCTGGGGAGACACACGCTCCCTATTCCTGATCCTGTCCGGAAACAAAGTGAAATGTTAGGTTACCGGTAGGTGGCCTATTGCCGTCCAACGGCCGCCTACTGGTGCTCGAGGTATCATGCTTGGGGGGGGGGGAGACAGTCTACCAGTCCCCGTTCGATGTGTTCTGAAACAGTAAAATATGTACATATATAGTATAAAGAAAAATACATATCACAACAGTCCAACATTCTTTCACATATCTATCTTCTCGGGAGCCTGCGGATTATCGGAAAAAATTAAAATTTCCCACCTTGAGGTGTAATACCGTATTATAAAGTTAAATCCCAAAAAAGCGCCAGGCCAGGTCATTCTCAATGCAAAAGACATAGAGAACGTGCCAAGACCAACGTATACGAGTAGTATTATACCATACTTTACCATACCGGTACCGTACTCGTACCGGTAGCTCACTTGACAATTCCTCAACCAACCGAGATCCAGAGTTCTAAAGGGTCAGAAAGTGAAGCCCAGGGAATTGCCCCTCGGGCGGATCAAGGTTCAGCCCAGATTTACTTCGCCGGACGGGCTCGTCTGGAGGGTCGTCGCGAGCATGATGACTACCCTGGATGGAAAGCCCCCATACAGCGCACCCTTCATATTCATGGACGCCAGCATCGTATGTTGAGCACTGTATCGCTCCCCAAAATCATACGCCATGCACGCCATCTGCATCAGAGACCATACCAGTACCCGTACCCGAGAACAAATGAAGGTATTAGGTAGCCGCATAGCGAGGTCCCTTCGAGCTTACGGTGGTCATCGCAAATTTTTTTTATCGCCAGTAAGGTAAGGGCCCACAATGCATCCCAGTTTGAAATCCCCACGGATTTCCCAACAAAAACAGGGGTCGTCTTGAAATAACAATATCATACCGGTAGTAATGCACGGGTAGAGAGAGACTCGAATATCAATTATCAATTGGACTACGGGGTATGCAGTCGAAGATTCCCTACCGTACTCCGGAAAAGGGGTGAAAAAGATATGGTACGATGGCAAGATGCGAGTCGCTTAGGACCCCCTCTGAAAGACATACCGTAAAAGCGCAAAACTTTACTAGAGGAGGCAACTCCAACGACACTGCCCTTCGTCCAATCATACGAGCTCTCACGGCACAGTACAGTACTCGGTAGCGCCCCCACCCAGCGCTATCATACGGACGAAGATACGGTATCATAAAATAGGTTCCCAGCGGTGCCGGCATTATTATTATTATTATTATTATTATTAATACGAAATCCCAATATCATACCGCACTCTCTCGACCCTCGAGTTTTGCGAGATTTCTCTCTCTTCCATCCATCACGGCATTGCCCCCCCTCATCAGTATCACCAGCCCCCATAGGATGGCAGGTCTTTTTGAGCCCTCCTCCAGGTCTAAACCTACAACACAGCGTTCGCTTCAACGCAAGCTCAGCCAGTCCCTGCCAGCCTGCCGGAACCATGCTGAAGCTAGGCACCGATCTACACTTGGGGGGGTTTTTTTTTACCGAAGCCAAGACGAACCGAACAGAGGATCCGTGGCAGCCGTCATACCGAACTCTATTAATAAATTTACCACAGCAGCAGGTATGATACTATATAAGCTCCTACGGTACTCCGCCTACCGAGATCTCCCCCAGGACAACCCACGAGCATCGCAATCCATACATTATTATTATTATATTACAGGCTGGGGTGTGGGTCTTATCTACACGTCAAGCCAAGACCTACGTGTCTACTTCGCTGGGGTCGGCGATGCCCACGCGATGAGTGGTGTCGTGCGGAGGAGAGTTCTCCGCCGATGCTCCGACTTCTTGCGGCCCAGCTGCTTGCGACGGTCGGTAGTTGGGTGACTCGAGTCTGTTGTGTGGGTATTGTGAGCCGGAATCGGGGGCAAGCCCGGAAGTCTCCTGCGTCAAAGCAGGAGACGGTATATATGATAGTAAATCAGGATCGAAATTAGGGGGGGGGGGGAATACGTCTACGTCTAGGTTTTTTTTTTCCGTAAATGCGGGGAAGCACCGTCATTACCACGTGAAAATAGTGCTGCCTCCGCCAAATGTTTTTCTCTTGTCGAATTTTTTTCCTCCCCAGATCTCTACCCTCCAAACACGTTAGTTAGTTCTCGGATAGGCGAGTGAGAGCTTGTGAGGAGGGGGGATTTGGGTAAGTTAGTGCTTCTCGGGAACTCGGTATGATAACACCACCGTCGACTTACCGTACTACAATTCCCAGGGTTAAAAAATAAATGCGAGACCGGTCTACATCGTCTCCGGGCTGGGCTGGGAAAGGGACTCGAGGCTAATTTTGCGGATGCTATAGTATTCCCACATTGTGCTGGTATTATAGACGTGTTACAGACTTTGGCCGGAGCGTTGTTGATGTTCAAGCTACCGGGAGGGCACCTTCCCTGATCACTTGAATTTCATACAATATAGTAAATATGATGCCCTCCAGTTTTTTCACCGGCACTTACACATTGCACCGCTCTGTGGCATAGCATAGCACAATGGAATGTTTGGTCACCCGATCAGATTATACATAAACTGAGCCCTTATAAACCTGCTCACCGCAACTCTCCGGGCGATCACCTCTAACTTACCACAAAACCGGTGAGATTTATTGACGGTACTTGCATCATACTAAATTACCGTATCGTATGGTACGGGTACTTGTGGTATGATATCCCGCTATCTTAAAATCCCTGAACCAAGTTCCACGTTGCACATTCTATTATACGCCACGGACCTCTCAAGCTAAAGCTGGGTTAGGGTTGATAGCTGCTGACAGCAGCCGTTAACCCTATCTTTTCCTCACCCAACTTTCCCGCCATCACAACCTCAACTTTCATCGCCAGCAGCAACATGTCGGAAGAAGACACGGCAATCGAGAAAGGCATCCTAGCGGAGCTGGATAGGGAAGCATCTGATTACCTCAAGGTAAGGCTTCCCCCCCCCCTTCTCTATTTCCCCTTTTCTGCCTTTTTCTTTCTTCCTCCTACTCTGGGGAAGGCGAGGGAAAAAAGAAAAGTGAGGAAAAGGCCCGAAATAATAATAATGAGAGGCCAACTAATGCACTCACCCGTTACCAGGATGCCGAGATATCTCGTATGATCTACCCTCCTACCGTACCCTTGCATTTCCCTACTCTTGCGCCTTAAGGAGAGGGGGGGCGCAAACGCTACTTTGCTCCTCCTCCCTACTATACTTAATTCACGAGAATACGCAAGTGGGTAAAAGAACCAAAAGAGAGAGTTGGCTAACTGCTCACACCAGGGATCTTGAACGCTTTCAAACTTGATGCGTAAGAACCCCCCCCCCCCCCCTCCTTCCCTTCTCCACCAAAATCCTGCATAAATTCTAAAACAAGCTGTGGAAACAAAAACAGCTACGCAATCCTTGACCTAAAACCCGGCGTCCCGGAATCCGACATCAAGCTCCAATTCCGTCGCAAGTCCCTCCTCATCCATCCGGACAAGACCAAGAACCCGCAAGCCCCCGATGCCTTCGATCGTCTGAAAAAGGCTCAGGGCGTGCTCATGGACGAGAAGGCGCGCACCCGCCTGGATGAAGCGATCGCCGACGCGCGCATGCTACTCATCCGCGAGAAGAAATGGACCGTGGATAATCCGGAGCTCACCAGCGAGGAGTTCGCTGTGGAGTGGCGGGAGAAGACCAAATTTGTCCTGATCGAGAGCGAGTTGAGGAGGAGGAAGCAGGTCAAGGCGCAGATGGCCGAGGAAGGGAGGGAGAAGAGGAAGGCGGATGAGGAGGTTGAGGCGCGGAAAAGGAAGCGGGAGAATGAGGTTGCCTGGGAAGAGACCAGGGATCAGAGGATTAATAGCTGGAGGGATTTTAAGAAGGGAGAAGGGAAAAGGAAGAAGAAAAAGGCCAAGCCTTTGGGATGAAGCTCTTTCCTTTTTTTCCTATATTTCCTTTCTTTCTCCGAAAAAAACTCTTAATGTCTTTCGCGTCTCTTTCTTCTGGTGGCCTACGTTCATGTATCTGGTGCACTCTCTGGCTTTATCCACCATTTGCTTCCTACGATACACGTATCCTCCTCCTCCTCCTCCTCCTCCTCCTCCTCCTCCCTCTCCTCCTTCTCCTCTAATCAGATAGAAGACCCAAGCTACATTCCAGCAATTTATGGAACACCCCAAGGTTTTCAAATATCGTATCGATAACCCCGTCTCCTCCATCCTTTCCAAAAATAACAAATCCCCACTTGGTCAATCTAGAACCTCCCCACCCAGGATCTAATACATCCCTCGTCCATCCCCAGACCTCGAGCCATAACACACATCCATACCTACATACAAACTACCGATTTATACATGGCTACAAGACAAGATGAGTACGCAATCCGATGTAAGCTCTAAAGCACCCTGCCCTGTTACCGAGTTTTGTACGATTGAATTGAATTGACTTGACTACACTGGGCTTTTGATCGATCCCGGAGACACCAAGAGTTTTTTTAGTATAACGCTGGAAATTTTGGAGGGGATTGGGTTGAGAAAAATGCGCCCGTGTAATATTAATGGTGAGAATGATAACCATGCTGGGAATGGTACGCTACTCGAGGAGGAGGGTGGGGGGGGAGGTACAGCGGGAAGCCTTGATCGCACCTGGCACCTCAACTTACTACCCGTATATAGTACTAGCCTGCCCATTCACAAAACCAGTCAATCAAATGCACCACTGGAACCGAAACGAAGAGTATACTATCATACATTAATTACTTTACCCTCACCCTCACCCTTACCCCTCTACTCCCCCTCCTACTTGTGGTGTGTGTCCAGGATCCCCACCAGGTAAAATAAAACAGCTACATACAAAAAATTCCAACGTGCTTATATTAAAGTCGCGGCACAAGTAGACAGAGAGGTGGGGTATATAAAAATTCCGGCAGGAAAGGGGAACAGCCAAACCGGGATAATGAAGAAAGGAAGAAAAGCATGGTACTAGAATTGGATTAAATTTTGGAGGGAGGCGGAAGCGGAAGAAGGAATGGAAGGTTCGAAGGAAGCAAGGAAATGGACTTCGTACAGTAGTGTGAAAGTGAGAAGTGAAGCAAGAAAACGCTATAATCGATGATGGTACAAATACAATACTGATAGCAAGCACTGTACTGTACGTACGGCACGGTACGGCGCACACACAAGTTATTATCGGTAAAAGGGTGAAGCAAGTATGATACTGAGGCAGAACGGAGAGTCAGGGGAGGTGGCCAGTGGTTGAGAAGCCAAAGGGAAAAAGAGGGAAAGGGAGGCAAGGAAAGTACATCGCACCCTAGATACCCCCTGGTTCAATATTTTTCTCCTTTTTTTCTGGCTCCAAACGCGCCGAATTCTCGAGCTAACATGGATAAAGAAGTGAAGGGAAGGAAGAAGTGAATATGTTAAACGGATGGACAAGTAAATAGTGACAGTGAAAGGCTGGATAAAGGAAGAAAAAGAAAAGGAAATAAAGATTGGCCATAGGAAAGCTAGAGACGATGGGGAAAGCATGGAAATATCGGAAATGAAGAGAAGGGAAAATAGTATATTAAAGAGTTAGAAGGTGAGAGCGATTGAGTGATGGAGTCGGATTGAGTTCGGGAATAGTCAGCCGAGTGAAAAGGGTAGGAGTAAGGCATGGCAGGACAGGCAAGACATAAAAGTGAACCAGGCTCGGGATTCATCATTCTTTGCGCGCGCTGTACTGATGGCCCCGATCCCGGGGAGTTAGAGAATAGGTAGGTAGTGGTTAGAAGAGATAACGAGCAAGGACAGAGTCATGGCGCTCTGCATGGTTTTGATACTCGATCCGGACTCTTGTTCTCTTGCTGACTCGCTCCCTCTTTTACCTCCTCTCTCCTTAAGACCCGATATCCCGACACCCCGCCCCCACTCGTGCCCATTTTCCCGCTGTTTTTCCATTCCCGTACCTGCTATTCCGCTTTGGCCCAGAAGCCCCACGGACACACGCCGATACACCCATAAGGTCCGCCAACTGTAGGCTGGGACCTGTCTGGCCGAGCACATCCTCCTTTTTATCGGGGGATTCTGCCGCGGTAGCGTGCAGGTACCACTTGAGAAAGCCAGGGGATATCCTACCCTTAATGGATGATGGGGAGGAGGGGAAAGCGGAGGTTGGGCCCCCTCTTTGCAATACCAATGCCGTTTTTCCTTCTTTTGGACCTATAAGGTCTCCCCCCCCCCTACCCCACCGACATCTCTTTTTTCGGTTCTGCGCAAATCCTCCTTTCTGAAACCAACCCGCTAGTACAAAAAATAAATAAATAAATAAAGGAAGCACAAAAAAAACACATGCAAAACACAATGCCCAGCGAAACAGAAACTCCTCCAAACGCCCTCCAGGATTCTCGCCACTCAGATACTGATGCTGGGCGCCTCATATTCTGAATGTTCGAATGTCGCAAAGTTCTTGCTCTATCCCACTCCCGCAGCAAGTGGCGCACCAACATCACCAATATCTATTCCAGCATTTCCTGAACGCCAATTCGCTCCCTTCTAGGTGTGCTACTGGCCTGGGTCCCATCACTTGAAGCACTTGACGGATTCTTCGTCTTGCCATCTCCGCCCGAACTTTCAGTAATCCCTTTCAACTGTAACGGCGGCAATTGAAGGTCATTCTTCAATGCTGTGCTCTTATATATCGAACTCGGAGCTGACGCCACAGGCGAAACAGGCCGACGGACCGAAGGGAACCCCGCAGAAGCAGGGGACGGGGCAGATGCATATTGCGCTAATGAGGGGAATGTGGATTCTGATTGCAGTGTTCTTGGTCGTGAGTCCATAGGGGACGAGAGCGCGATGCTTGGGTGCAATGAGTATGGCGATTGCGGTCCCTGGGGTTCCCCCTGCAATTGTCGCTGTTGCGAAGGTGTTAAAAATGACGGCGAAGTAAGAGGTGGTGGGGGTATTTGTGGGCCCGGCGTATACATGCGGGATTGGGATCCAAGGGAAGATTGCGATGAATTGAATTGGAGTGGGGCCGGAATCCCAGTCACCAGCGAAAATACGACAACAACAAAGAAAACAGAAGTTTTAGCCAGATTTATTTGGATCCGTGTACGGAGGAAATGGCCATCGGGACGGCGAAGGTGGAGGCTCTCCTGTATATCTTTTGAGCCATGGGTGGCACTAGGGATATCTGCTTGGTTAACATTCTGAATAGCTGAATACAACGAATCCGGAGAAACTGGTGGTCGGTAATTCGGCTCCCTTTCAGTAACTTCATCCTGGATTCTCCTTGATAAACGATAAAGCTTGTCCCTGTCGCTCGGTACTACAATATCATACAGGCTCCGGACACGATTCAGCTCATGCTCGGAATACCCCAAAAGCTCTCTTACGTTCTCCGATGACTTGGCAACAACCAGCTCCGTTGTCAGATATGCCGTGGCATTTGGTACCGGTGATGGCAGGTTCAATCCTCGAGACCTAGGCAGGGGCCTGTCATCAAAGTAGCTTCCGGATTGGCCCAAAGTTTCTTCGCGAGGTGTGAGGGATGGCCTTCGGTTGTACCGATGTGAGTCGGTCGGCTGCGATTTTAATACACGATGGGGACCCGTTCTAAACGATCGTGTGGTTGGCGAAGAAAGGGGAGACACATTCTCAGGACGATGCGACTGCAATGCACCGATTTGACCAACCTCAAAGCTGTGAGTTCTTTCATCTCGTAGTCTCGGCCTCCCGCGTTTTTTATGCTGAACATCTTTACAGGTATCCTGCGAGACAGTTAGCTCACTCGGAAAAAAAAAAATGATTTTTTTGTCTGCAATATACCTGCTTACCGAGACCGACACACCGAGGGCATGGTCGTCGAACTACAAAGCAACGTAAGTTAGCGTCATCACCATATATCACTCTGCGATCAAAACATTAGAAAATCGGCCGATTGGAAGAAGAGGATCAGAAGCCGGGTAGTCACGTGATTGCCGAGACAATCACAAGCGCTCACATACGAAAGCGTCCCCAGATTTCCGGTCGGGCGGTCACAGTGAGGCAAAACGAGAACGCAAGAGAAGGATCAGAGGGAACGATGAGGGAGAGCAAGGGGGAGGGGGGATAGCCGAGAAAACCAGCAAGAAAAACACATGTCTCCAGCTCGGCCGGAATGGGCCCTGGAGACAAAAAAAGCAAAAATTCAATAGAAAGCGCAGAGAAATAAGATAGCGAAAAGACCAGTCAACAATTCGCGATCCCCCCGCCCAATCGGTTAAAATCTGCCTGGGAAGCGTGGGGAAACTATCGGACGAACTCATGGGGCAAATGCCAAACATCGCGACTCCCCGTTTCCGGTGCCAGGCCTTCGTGTTTTGTGACCGAAGTGTCCGAGCCCTTGGTAGAGTTTGCGCCTACGAGAAGATAAAACACAAAGGCGGAATAATTGAATGGAAATCTCCGCAGATAGCAGTCCCTTGCGCCAAGGACAGAAAAAGAGAAGAAAAGAAACTGTCAAAGGAAAATAAAATCAAACTCTAAAAAATCTCAAGAGGGGCAGAGATGAATTGAATCCAGCTGCTGCAACATACCATCGCAGGCCAAATGTGCCTTCTTACAGTTGACGCATGCAGATGCAACATGAGATTTAGTCCTCCGTGGAAGCTGAGGTGGCGGAAATGATGGTGGGGAAACGAAAGGTGTCCTTCGCCCAGGGGATGTGGCTGGAAGCTGTGATGAATGGGTATGGGGGCTCTCATGGTTGTTCATGGATGGAAAAGGTGCCGGAAAGTGTTCGCTATCTGCCGAGGAGGAAGTCGCACTCACTGGTCCCTGATGCTGTTGTTGCTGCAGCTGGTGCGGATACTGGGGGTCGTGGTGGGAATACGAGTGCTGCTCCAGAGCTCGCCCTGGTAGTCCCCTAACGTCCTGCGGTATCGATATCGAAGTCGATGGTCGCCGTCGAGCATCCTGCTTAGGTGACAGAGGATGCAAAGGGGGGGGAGAATGGGACATTGGCGGCGAGGGATAAGGCACCGTGTGGGCAGCTAAGGAGACTCCAGGACGGGCCGGACCCAGGTCGAGAGAGAACCTAGCCAAGTCGTGCGATATCGATCGACGTTCTCCGAACGAAGGATATACCTGTGGTCGTCGGGGGGAAGAGGGTTGCATGGGAGCCTGCATATAGCCGTAGTAGGTTGGAGGTAAAAGGCCTGAGTACGAGAGGGGGAAACCTTGAGACTTGATTCCCGGAAAGTAATAGTGATAGGGGCGGAGGAGGGGGTTGAATGGGGGAAGGTGTGTGTAAAGTTACTCCAAAGCTAATCGAAAACCAGGGGCGGTTGAGCGGCGGCGGAGGTTACAAGTCTTAGCATGGAGCTGCTGCAAGTCAGATCAACTGTTGGTATGTACGTTATGTATGTAACAGCGGGCGGGCTCAGTCGGTAGCGAAAAACAGGGAGGAAAGTATGTGTGGAGAGTCTAAAGAGGAACATGTGAGTATACATATAACGTCGCCTCCGCTCCGCACCACCGTTGCCCGTGCCTAGGAACGCCTGGGGCGATATACATACCTACCGTAGCGCAGGAGCAAACCAGCACCGAAAAATGAAACGAAAATGAGAATGAAAAAAAAAAAAAAAAAGGTAGTGTGTGGGACGGATGTTATGGCGCGTAAATTGTAATTGACGGGGGGTGGACCGGTCTCGGGTTGCTTTTTTGTCACCGATGGGATAAAAGTCGAAAGGAAAATTTATACAACGTTTTGGGAAATAGCGGTGTTGCTCACAGCACAGACTGGGGGGGAGGAGGGAGGTGTGGAGGGAACAATACGCTACCAGGCAAAGCAGGGTGTTAGAGGGCAGGAAGGTGAAGGGAAGGGAAGGGAAAACGGCAACTAAGCAACGACAAAAGAAGCAGAAACACCACCAAGAAACGAATAACGGAATAAGGCGGGCGGGATGAGTTTTGTGATTGAGGGAAGGTTACATACAGCACAGTTGAGGGAAAGTGGGTGATAAATGGTGCTGGTAATGGTTGGTGGGGGGAGGAAGTTGGATATCGTAGATGGAGGGAACGGGAACAAGGGAAGATTGGGGAGGGGGGGGGGGGGAACGGTACCGGTAATCGGATGGCAGCTGTTGCTTACTGGATAACTGCCAGTCCAGTGGTACTCGTACTCGAGTACCGTACACCAAGCAGCTGGATATTGCTAGCCTCTCTGGTTGAATACCGGTAGCTGGCAAGCTGGTGGCTATCAAACGAAATTCTCAAGCGGGCCCAGCTTCCAAGGCCCGCCTGGCGGATGATCGACAATGGATTGGCTGAATTAGGGGAAGAGGGAAAGATGAGGAAGGGCTGGATGAGCCGAGGAGAGCGGAGGTAGGGGGGAGGGTGTACGACAGATGGAGGGGATGGGGGGCCAGAGAGACAGGATTCGAGGGCAGGAGCAGCACCAAACCAGAATCAATTGATTCGAGCTCGAACGTCGATGATGATTATTATGGGCGATGATGCAACGGACAAACAGGCAAAAAGGGAAGAAGGGAAGGAGAAGAGGAAAAAGAAAAGAGGGATGCCGAGAAAAGGCAGGGGAAGATGAATGCGATACCGTAGGGTAATGCAGGTGGGCAGGTATCATAGAAGAAACAGACGGGCAAGTAAGTGGGCAATGAAAAGGGAACAAACAGGAATGAATCAAAGAAATCAAATATTTCACCCTGTTTCCACTCCCTTTCCACTCCCTTTCCCCCCTCCTCCCATACTCACTTCCCCAGCGGTCTGGTATGGACGCCTGTATCACACTCTACCAGGAAAGGAGGGAAAGGGGGGAGCGGAAAGAGATGACGGCTAGGGCCCCATCAAACAATCCTAAGCAACTTGCCAGTATCGGTATGATACAGCAACACCAGGCACCAATGGCGGCACAATCGGGAGCGGAAGGCAAGAAAGCACACAATCAGCATCATAATCAGAACCAGAACAGCGAACAGGCTGGAATCTCAGACCAAACCAGATTACAGTATCATCATCCTTCCATCCCTCAGACAACTCCTCGGAAAGGGGTTGACTTTATGGGTCGTCTCTCATTGACAGGCTCGTGCAGACAACAGGCGCCTTGTCCCCGGCTGCACTTCAACTGACTTCACCCTGAGCCTGGCCTATCGCGGCCCCCGCAAATCGGTCGAGCCAGTAGGAATTAGGGGTCCATGGATTGGATTTTGCCCGCGTATGCGTGCCCACCAGTTTACGCTAAGCCTAAAACTGTCTTATGCAATGATTGTTCACCTCCCCTCCTCCTCCAACTCCTCCTCCACCGCACGTATATTCCCGCCCCGGAAGAAGCACGACTACCACGTACTCGTACACCGGTATACTCAGTATTGTGCTACCGGTATATTCACCCTGATACCGGTATCCTCCTCGCATCCGCATGCTCTACCCCATGCCTTCTGGCAGACCTAGGCAGTGGCCCGAGGAGAAGAAGGGGAGAAAGGAAAAGAAAAGTATAATAGCGTGATAAACCGAGTTCGTGGCACAGTCTCTCCCGACGTGAGCTGGAGCCACCCAAGACACGGAGAGAGACAGACATACCGATACATCCACAGCGCTAGTACTGCTCATACAGCACGGTAGACGGCGGGACGGTCCTCTGCACTGTTCTATCTTATACACTCCCATTGTATCGTATAGAACTTACCTTCCACCCTTTTTGCTTCATACGCATCCCTTGCTCGTGTCTCGGGAATATTCCTCTTCCTACTTTCTCACCAGCAACTCATAACCCCCCGCCTCACCGCCCCTCCAAGGAAGAAAACCCCCCCCCCCCTATCCTTTTCCATTACCCCTTCTGGATTCTTCCTTTTTACCACCACCTCCACCACCTCCCACCTCCTTCTCCTCTTCCTCCTACTCCTTCTAATCCTATTCCACAACAAACAATTTCCGTCACAAAAATGAAACATCAAGTAGGCTACCCATCGAATTGCAAAATTTGTATGTGTGTGTGTGCGTGCGCTTGCTTGTGTTTCTTTATCAATCACCAACCTGGGAAGGAAGGATAAAAAGGCATGAACCGTCAACAGGAATCCAAAACATACGTTACTCCTACGCATTGTTCGCTGCTCTGAGACATAAACTGCGGCGGGAGAGAAGATCGAGGGATGCACATTGCACAGAAAAGCAGCAGGATACAACGGGCGACGTGGGATGACACAAGTAGTGCCTACTATTGGAGCCGGAAAGGACGCTGGGAAAGCAAATCAACGATCGACGGCTTGAGAGATTAGCGGTGAGAACCTCAATCCGTAAGAAAAGAGAATGAGACCTGGGGGGAGGAGAAAAAAGGGCAAGGGTGAGAAAAAAAATACAGGAAAAACAAAGGAAAGGGAAGAAAGTGAGAAGGATGAGTCTAGTCTAGTACAATTCGTGATAGATGGCTAGAAAGCCTCAGAAGGGAAAGGACACTAAAGGGGAGAGGGAGGGAAAAACAAAAAACACAGAACCATTTACCTCTACACCAACAATCCGAGAAATCCCAAACTGGCCAGCCGGAATGGTCGATCGCTTTTTCTCGTCAGCCATCGCTACCGTCGAATGAATTCTCCGTCTCCAGTCGGGTGATCCCTGAGAAAAATGGAGAAAAAGGGTCATTGCTTACAGTACCCACACCGCGTCCAATATGAGATTGCTAACCTAGTGAGGTCCTCCCCGATTGGAAAGGGCGCAATAGCGGGAGATGGATGTGGATGCCCAATCGTGCGATGATTTGGCAACCTACAGCCCTACAAAGGATCCTAATGAGTCTCTGAAATCGGATAGAAGAGCGGAGTTTGTCCGGCGTTGGTGCGCCTCAATTGCAAGACGTGTAACAAAAAAACTGCCTTCTCTGCTCGAGACCGACCTGCTATTTAGCACGACAGGCCCTGCCAGCGAATCGCGGGAAGGAAGCAGACAAGCCAAAGCACAGCACGATGGGTTGAAATCCGTTCAATATTGAGCAATGCATTCGGATTCCCCTCTTCATAGCCCGGAGTGGGGGGGCAGCTGCGGGACGGGGTATGCATGGTCACTATGTACGAGTACTCTCCCTCCGGAGACAAACATAGGAGGATTAAAAAAATTATCGGGGAGCGTAAAATCGGTCAGGCCCACGCCAACTCTGAGTTTTGTGCTCCAATGCTCCGAATCCTTCCTACACAACAAGAAAGCCCTTCCCGTCCTGATCCCACAAGGATGTCTACATGTAATTTGTTCAAGGAATGGTCCCGCACAGAGAACGGACGAACCAATGAAGGCCTAATCGAGCAGTCTAGGATCACCGGTCCTAATATGTGGCCCCGCTATGCTCATGCCTCCACAGCGACAACAACCTGTCGGAAGCATTATACAGTTTGGGGTGGAATTGATATCAATCGTAGATATGTACTAGTTCTATTGGTATAGAACACAAGTGCCACATAATACGAAGTTGATCTGGGGAAAAGGCTGTAACAGAGCCCCCGAACAGCATGCGGAGGGCTTGTTTTGTGGGGTTGTTTGCGCCTCAGATCGGGAATTTGAGCCTATCACGCCTTCACCCATGGTCCGAAACCCCATCATCTCTTGGAGCATCCCAGGGGCTCCTCTGGAGTTTCCTTTTTTTTAGTCTTGCGTTTGTCTCGTCTTGCCGGCAATTTTTTCTTTCTTAAAGCTTGTCGATCGAGGCGTATGTACGAGCACTAGTGCAATTCACACCGAGGATAAAGGTGGACTAATCGTAGGCCGAGTGGAAAATCGCTACAATTTTGAGACACGATATAAGGAACATCAGGTGCAAGGACTCTTCAGGGTTGGAGGGTTTCGTGAGGAAGATGAAAGGGATATATTTTCCCATGTTCTTCCTTGCACGCGCGGAATCGCGAGCGTGCGCGTGTCCAAACTATAGCACATGGGGAAGGGAGTGAGGGGAGCTTTGAGGAAGGAAATTTTCGGAACACACTGATCCGATTTGGCGAAACGTCTGGGGTTTGAAGAATTGAGTGTGATGGAACAGGCCAAATAGTCACGTTTCGCCCTCTCTACGAGTACAATGGTCACAGACCTTCTGTGCCTGCCCAAGTAAGCGAAAGCACGGGGGGAGCAGAGAGAAATCCATTATATTGACAGATTAGGCTGATTATTGTCATCACAATCTTGATTTTCCTGCTTGGTCCTTCTGGGATTTTCTCCCTCCTTCCGTCCCTACAGGTTGGGTGCCGGTATGGCACCGCAAGAAGGGAGAAACGTGAGGAGGTGTTGTTGATATTGGGTATGAAGCGGTCATCTTAATGCCAAACGGGCATAAGACTGCCAAATTGCAGGATGAAGCGCATAGATCTCCATGTTGTGCAGCTGTCCCTTGCACAATTGCGCTGGGTCAGAAATGGGGGCGTGGTGGCTCTGGCTAAAGGTTTCAAGCTTTCCAACTCCCAGTAGCCGAGCTCGATGACCTGCCGAGGGTGGGCCGCCGGTAGCAGAGCACGGTAGGCACAAGGACGGTTTCGACCGAGATTTGTTGAGTGAGATGGAAAATCGTCGGTCGGCAATCAGCCAGCCTCAATTATGTCTGACATTCCTTAAACAGTTTTGTGCTGCGGCGCTGCACGGCACATGGATCCTGGAGAGCTCCTTTGCTTCTGCGCGCCGGTTAGCGTTGGAAGGGGAAATTTTCAAGGGAAGTGGGAAATGGAATAAAAAGAGAGAAAAGGAAAGCATTGTTTGGAAAAAAATAAAAATACGGTATGCCAGACTAAACACGACTGCACACAAGTCAAATATGGTGCGGCATGATACGGTACTGGAGTACATGTGCCAGGCGAGGTGTTCTCGCACACGACAGGGATCACTTTGCGGGTTAACTTAAATTAACTGTTCGTCAACCTTCTGTCTGGTATCATTCCTGTGCCCGAGTACGGGTACGGTACATTCAGGCTCAGACCTTAATGGA